CTCTTGAGTGAGCTCTTAACCCACTGAGCCACTCGGCCGGCCCCCTCTCTTCATATTTTTTAATTTCATGTATTCTTAGGCTCACCTGGTCCATGCTGGGAGTAGAAAGTGAGAAAAAGCATTCTGAATGGGGATGACATAGGAGGAAGCAACACAATCTCAGTCTTGTCTGATATCCTCCACAAAGGAATCCAGGCTGGTTGGCGTTAGGATATGGTCAGGTGGTCAGCTAGGATCAAGTGGTATCAGGACTTGGTTATTACCAGGGGTGGGAGGAGCAAGAGGGGGAATAAAAGTTGTTTTGAGAGAACAGTAACTATGAAAGCCAGAAAAACTGAATTTGTAGTCAGTTATAAGTAGTGACTGTAAAGCCCAAAATGAGAGAGATAAAAAATTAAGGTTTTCTGATTTTCATGAATCGTATGGGTAGTTGAAGGAATACCGGGCAACAAAGGCAAGCACGGAACATGAGCATTCAAGACAAACGTGGTAAAGAGGGCCACATGGTTCAAGGCTGCGGGGTAGTCCCTGATATGGAGTGAAGGGGTGGCATCAGCCTGGCTAAAAAGGCATCAGAGCAGCACAATCAAGTTGCATTATACCTGCTTAACCCCAATTCCTGTTTCAGTAGGTTGAAAAATGGTCTCCATAGCTTTCCACAAGTAAATAGAAAGATCTGACTACAAAAGGAATAAAAATGAACTCATTTCTTTTTTAAATTGGGAGTAACAACAGCATCAGGACTGTAACTCTATCCAACAATACTCTGAAGACATGATGGAAGAGTTTCTAGAAGCCATTCTGGGTAAACAATGCCTTGCCTCTTTATGTTCTCTTCTCCTCATACTGGGTATCACCTTGAACTTCAAAATATCCCCCTTTTGCCCTTTGTATCAGTAGTCCAAAATGAGAGGTCCACAGGAAAATGTAATTGTGCACCATGACACAGCAAGGACGTTCGTTAGGCTTTACTGCCCAAACAAAGGACACAGCACGAAATGCTTCCCCAGCTTCAGGAAGTAGTTTTGATACCTTCAGGCAGAACTGGTTCCATAATTTGTGGGGCCCAGTGCAGAATGAAAATGCAGGGCCCTTGTTTAAAGATTATTGAGCATTTCAAGAGAGCAACAATAGAATATTAAGCCAGGCATATGGCCCTTCCAAACACGCAGGGCCCTGGGAGCTTACACAGGTCGCACACCCGTGCAGCTAGTCCTGCCCTCAGTGTAGCAAGATTCTTTAGAAGAGCTTTAGAGTCAGAGCTGGGTCCAAGTCCCATCCTTGCCACTCATTAATTATGTGATCTTAGGCAATTTATTTAGCCTCTCCGTGCTTCCGAAAGGTTGTGTGGTTGTAATCCAGCATTGTGAAGATTAAATGAGAGAATGAATAGAATGTATAGAAAGTGCTTAGCACTCAACAAATGGTAGCTATACCATTATTGTTCAAGGAGATGTACAGGTAATTATCAAAGCGGTAAGTTTAAGAAATGAGTTGCGAAACTCATTCAGGATGTGAAAGAATGAGAACGATATCTTCGGACAACTAAAATAGTGAGGCAGACAGGGAAGATTCTCTTTGGCTTGACTCTTCTGCCTTCTTCAATCACTTTCCGATTTCTCTTCTTCCTTCTACTGCTAAACATACAAAGGATGATCTACCTGCTATCTCCATTCCTTATCAGCATCTCATGCCACAACCCTCTCATCCAGCGGTTTGATAGCCCCATGGCCATCCTCTGCTTGTTTAGTAAACTAACGACCCTGTTTACTAAATATAATGGGCATTTCCCACTTTTTCTGTACAGTTTCATACTGCTGACCGAATTCCTCCAGCTTGAAACCCTCTCTTCTCTTGAATTCTGAGATATTATATACCCTCATGGCTTTCAGTACGTTTAATCAGGTATACAAATGGTTGTGAAGAGAATGCATTTGTTAGATGAATAAATTAGATGATTCTTTTGCTTCTCTGGTAGTCCTTATTTTCTACTATACTGAAAATAAGTATAGTAGGCCGGGACTCGAACCGCTGTTGCTCAGAGCTCAAACTCTTGAGCGAGCTCTTAACCAACTGAGCCACTCGGCCGGCCCCAAAGGCTATTTTTGATTCTTCCTTATTTCTTGTCCTCCATATCCAGTCAGCCACAAAGTCCTGTTCATGTTTCCTTTATAATACTTACTGACCCCATCTTCTTTTATTTTCACTGCTGTCACCCTCATTCAATTCCTTATCTCCTCACGCCTAGACTATTTAAATAACCTACTAACTGGTTGTACAGTTCTCTTTCTATCCCTACTAAAGTTTATTCTCCACATTGTTGCTGAGAATCTCCTTAAAATATTACTTTTGTGACCCCAACACTTCCCTAATCAAGCATCTCCAGACTTTCCACCATACAGGATAAGGTCCTAACTTTTTATTTAGTTCAGCATCAGTACCTGTTAAAATCTGGCTTCAAGCAACCTTTCCACTCCTACAACTTTTCTACTTAAACCTTCTGATCTTGCCAGATTGGTCAATCTCATCAATTGACCCCTGAAAACTTGCTTTCGCTATTCTGGCCCTTTGTTTTATGAACACTATTTTTCCTGTCTGGAAATCCTTTCCACCTTCATTCTCTTTACATCATAAAATTCACCATGTCTCTGGGAAAAGCCTTCCTTCATAATCGCAGCCCAGGATGATATTTCTCTTTTTTCAACTCAACATGTTTAGTATTTTGAAAATTTACTGAATTACTGCTTTACACTTGTGATTTCACTTCAGCTTCACAACTATATGAGGTAGGTAGGTACAGATGAAGAAAGAAAGTCAAACAACTTGTCCAGCAAATAACTTCTACCAGCAAGTAACTGGTAGAACTGAGATCTGAATCCTTGTTCCACCGAGAATACTCCCCAGACTTACTTCACCTCTCTCATTGTCCTGTCTTTTTCAAAGCACAAATACAACACAGTATTTGCACACAAGCAGGTGCTCAGAAAACAGGTTGAGAAGATTGTTTAAATAGCACCCCTGATTCTCTAGCACTTACAGAATTGTCAACATCAGCAGTTCAAGTTAGGTATAGCATCCCAATGTCACCTTCTTTACATGGCTCGATTTGTAATATGGTTCAAGATAGGGGATTTGCCAAAGATTCACCACAATCCATTCTAAAATAAATTTTGGTTTAAGCAAAGCTAAAAGGCCTTTATCTGATTTAAACATTAGGTGAGTTTAGGGAATGAGGTGCACTTTACTACCTCTGGACCCATCCATGCTCTGTTTGCAGATGGTCAGGAAGTAAACATAGGCTGGCTAGCTGGTGGTTTACGAGGTAAAATGGACTATTGATAGTTCTAGAGGGGGATATTAAGGCAAAAGAACAGATTTTCTCGACTCTGGTAGCTAAGACCTCAGTAAAAGAAGCCTAATAAAAGGGAATCACAGGTGGAAATTGGGATCAAAAGAGGGTAATAGTAAGGAGGGAGAGTGAACAGAAAGAAGGAAGTACTGGACATATTCTATTGAGGAGATGGTGCTGTCCTTTTCTGCATAGTTGCCTGAGCTGTCAGATCTAGCCCTGCCCTATACATGGCTGGCTCCACAGAACAGGGGGCTCCACCATTTCTGCCTGACTCACGGGGTGAGCTCTGAACTGCTTGCCCTGACCCACATCACAGTCTAGACCCTCTCCTGCTCCAGCTCCTTCTGATCTTATTACTGATTTCCCTAGGTCTCACAATTTCACCAGAGACAGATTTCACATTCAGCACTGCCTCCCTGGTTATGACCAGTATTTTCCTCTTATTGTGTGATTTAGATTGCCCTCCCAGATGATGCCTGCAGTGCCACAAAATCTGCCCAGTTTTCAGGTCCTCTACCTTGGCGTTACTGCAAACTCTCCCTTTCCCATCTCCATAAGTTGGTCCCTTACTTGGAAAGATAGGGACAAAGATCAGAAAAACTGATGAGGGCAAAACGTGAGGAAGAAGAACAATAAGAAGGAAAATACCACTGGAAAACTAAGGTGGGAATTAGAGATTCTAGGTTACTTTTGGAAAACGGCCATGGCTATAATACAATGCCATTGCCTAGAGATACCATACTCTTAAGCATCTGCATTCACTGTTTCCTCTGCTTTGGCTGTCCTTCCTGTCCTTCTCTGCAAGGCAAACTCCTACTCATCCTTCTAGACCTCGCTTAATCATGTTCTCTGGAAAGCCTTCCTGGACCCTCTCACACGGCTAATTGTTCCCTCCTTTGGGCTTCCACAGCTCTTTATATACACTTCTATTGGCTTGTTGGAAAAGTCATGACATATTTTTTCTATGTTTTTTGTTGCAAAAACGCGTCATTTTTCCGACAACCCAATATTATGCTGTTATTACTTTAACTGGCAATTTTATTTATCTCTCCCACTATTTTTTTGAAGATGAGGACTGATTATCTTATTCATCTTTGCATCCCCAAGACACAGAGAGCCTGCATATAGCTAGCATTTGTTGTGTGATAAAAGACATGTCGAGCAACATGAAAGTGCAATTTGCACTTCACTTGCAAAAAATCAAATTGGCTCCTGGTACTTTTCATATGTAACCATGTTTTCCCTTGATTTAGAAGAAACGACTTTAGACTCATAAAGGAAATTCTATTGCTATCATTGGCATATTAGCCTGTATTTCACCGGCCCTGGTGATAAATTCCCCCTCCCCCCCACTTCCAAGAAACTCCCAGGGCAAGCTTAACATTCGTGGCACATGGCCCATCCTACCATTTCTATTGTAGTGAAAGCTAAATTACACCGTGAGCCTAAAGCTGCCACCAATCTCAGTGAATTGGTGGTAATGGTGGCGGCGGCGGGGGGCCGGGGGGATGGGGTAGGGTGGGGAGGGGTGAGGTGGGGGGAGTGGGTGGTAATTAAAAGAACACGCTTCTGTAGCAGACCTAGGAGGAGGGTAAGGGAGGAAGATGAATTTAAACCTTGCCTTATAAAAATTTGGTTAGAAACTCACGCAAAACAGCTGCTTCCTCTGGACATGACAGACCGATCCAGGTGTCCAGCAGTGACCTTTTCCCATGAGTGTCAGGTCATCACCCCGCACAGAAAACAAGGGGCCCGTGCCTTTCTTGGGCATCCCTCCTTCTCAAACCGGGCAAATCTTAGGGCCTGCTTTCCCTTTGGGGGATTCCTCTTCTCCCCGACAATCCCCAGTTGTCTCGGCTGGTGCCCCCTTAAGTACCAATCTTGCCTTCGTCCCACAGCGGGCCCCAGTTTGACTCCGGGTCAAAAGTGCCGGCGGCTGGGCTGTCAGACCACAGCTGCGGAGGGAGTGCCGAGGTCAGGCCCAACCCTCAGGTCTCCTCGCACTCTGCGGGACGAGGGAAGGAAACGCAGGCCTCGCAAGGCCACGGGCTGCTGAGGCTCGGGCCTCTGCGCGGGAGGAGTTTGGTCACCCGGGAGAACCCACACGAGTGCCAGTACTTCAGCCGGCTCCCCGCAGCCTCCCGCAAGTTCGAGCTCCGGAGCTGCTCCGCAGCCCCCGCTGCAGCTGGGTCCCCGCCCCGGGCGCAGCGCGGTCAGTTGGTCCGCCAGCCGGGGCTGCTCGGTCCTCGCGCGGGCCCCACGCCGCGGCTCCCCGATCAAGCCGCCCGCCGCCTGCCTGCCGGTGCCCACGGCAATGCCCCGCCCCGCGGGCCCTGCCCGACCGCCGCGCCCCGACCCGGCCGTGACAGCTGGGTGCCCAAAGGATTAAGCCGGCAGCGCCGCGGCCCGAGTCCCCAGCGCGCAGCCCATCCGCCGCGAGCCCGCCCCAGCGCGCACGCGCCCGCCCGTTACCTGCGGCCGCGTTCGCGCTCCTCCTCCACCTGGCCGCTCTCTCCCGGGGGCCGCCCCTCAGCCCGCCCCCTCGGCTCGGCGCCGCGCACTCCGCTGGCTACTCGGACACAGCTCGGGAAGGAGGGGCGTTGGAGCGATTACCATATATTAGCATACCAGTGCGCGTCACGTGGCCTCTCCAGCCAATGGTCACTTTGGAAAGGCGGGGTTTGGGTTGAACACGCCTAGGTGCTGCTCCGGACCTGAACCGGTGGCCATGGCAACGTCTGGGAGCGCGGGGGTGTGGGGAGGCATTGGAGCCCAGTGGACCCGAGAGCATCTCCCGTACCTGAGCTCTGAGCGGACACACCGCGCGCTTTTTCCGTCTCGTTGGAGGAGAGGGACTAAATTTGGCTCAGCTCCCGAAGATTCAGATTCAGCAAACATTTATTGGGCGCTTACCACGTGCTTAACACTTTTCTACATTATATGATGCTCCGGGTAACCTGTGATGTCGGTACTGTTAACCCCATTTCATGGAAGGGAAAGAAAAAACTCAGAGAGGTTAGGTCACTCACCCAAAGTCACACAGCCATGCTAAATGGCAAAAGTGAGCCCATTTCTGACTTCAGGCCCAGGATTCTCCTGAGTTATTTTCTCCAGCAGGGGTTACCCAGCACCTCCTCACAATCCCAGGTGTACCAAGCAGCTGAGAAAATCCTCATACAAACCTTGTACAGTGCTTTAGTGTTTCTTTACAATGACCTTTGAGGTTAGTAGGCAGAACAGTTATGCCCATATTGCAGATGAGGAGAAATGAGGCTCAGAGAAAATGACGTGGCCTGCCTTAGTTCAAACAGCTACTAAGAGCTAGTGCTTAATAATAACTAAGATTTGTACTCAAGCTCGCTACTTGATAAACTTTTAAAATCAATCTCACACAGTGGTATTGCTATGACCATTTTACAGATTAAGAAACCAAGGCTTTGGGAAGTTAAGCAAATTGCCCAAAGCTACACAGCTAGTAAGTAGCAGATTTAGGGTTCAAATTCAGGTTTATCTGGCTCCAAAGCTAGTCTCATGACATCTTATGGTACCAGGCTCATTTAACTTAGGCTTGGAATTTAGAACCCCTTTTCTAACAGTTTTTCTCCTCTCCTCTTAAGGTGGGTCTATGTTCTCTCTTAATCCAGCAAAATATCACATGTGAAGTGATATGTGTTAAGGTCACGGAGACTATTAAAAAGAGAATAGAGTCACCCCTGCAGGTAGAGAAGGATATTCTATAATTCTGTCTCTTCATTTCACTTCTAGGGGTTTAATAGTTCACCTAAAGTCAGAGGAGATTAAAAGCATAAACATCTGCATATAGATTCCTTCTGCTTCTTCCTTTAGTTTAGCTCAGTGGTTCTTTAATTATTGGACAAGACCACATGCCTCAAACCAAATATACTAAATTCATAGGCATTTTAAGGGATTTTCAACTGTAATTTGGAATAGATGTACATTTCATCTTACCGGGCTGACTTAAAACCCGGTTTTCTCCTAATCTCTGACTGGTGTTCAAGAGCACAAATGTGGAGGCAGACCTACCTGGGTCAAAATCCCGACCTGACTACTCACTGATGTATGACCTGGGGCAAGTTAGCCTCTCTGTGCCTCAATTTCCTCATTTGTAAAATAGGATAGGAATGGTGTGAGCATTAAATTAATGAACGTATAAAAAGCATTTAGCACAGGCCCTGGCTCAGAAGTAAAACCTCCATAATTGTTAGCTGTTATTGACCCTGGAGCTCTCCTAAGAAGACACAACCCACAAACACAGAATTTCAAGGTTTTCTAGCTGGCGTTGGAATTCTGAAGCTGCCTCCCATTCTTTGTGGCACATTAAACAGCCTGTTGGGCTGGTGAAGGCTTGTTATCTTTCCAAACGACATTCTCTCTTCTTAGGATCATAAATAATTCCTGGACTCAAAGGAGCTGGTTTCCTCTGCACATCTCCTCACACCAAATTACCAGACTGGCTCCTTGCAGGAGGGGATCTTGACAAACAGCGGAACCATAAGTCAGGCTCCTTGAAACAGTTTTATGAGCGTCTTAATGAGGGAGATGAGCTGTCATCAGGAACTCATCCTATCCTTCCTGGCCACAGGAAATGAGCTCTTTGTGCTCAAAGAGTTTCCAAAGGCGAACTGCAAAGCGTGTTCAGGAAGTGGGCACGGGATGAGAAACTGTTGACTCAGAGGATCCCAGGGCTAAACAGCCCCCATCCTGCCATTCTCCTTATAGGGTCAAGTTACTCATGGCCTTATTGCAGCAATAGCACCAAAGGGTGGCTTGTGTGGGGGGTGTTACTCCTTCCCCTCCCCCCCCCTCCCCCTTGTACACACTTCAACAGCCAACCCACCACCACCTCAAAAGGTAATGCAGTATGGAATAGTGGTTAGGAGCCCGGCCTCTGGAGCTGAAGAAGCAGTGGGAATCCTGCTTCCAATACTCACTATCTGCGTGACCTTGGGAAAGTTGCTTAACGTCCCCATGTCTCAATTTCCACATCTGCAAAATGGGACTAATACAGTGCCCACCTTATAGGCTCTTGTGAAGATGAGTTGTTAACTTAAAATGCTTAGAACACCCTATAGCAAGCACTAGGTGTGTATTTGCTAATTAAACAAAATCAACATGTAATTCTTGTACAATGTACTTTCTATAGGGGCAACCACAGCCTTAAGTGAAGTGCTTTAGGCCCTCTCCCAACCATATACTGCTCCCCACCCCCTCTGACATACACATAAACGTTACCCAGAAATAGGAAGGATATATGCTCAGGAGCTCTGGTTTGAACTCTGACTCTGCCATGTTCCTTGTTCTGTGAGCTTGGCCAAGTTATTTTATATCCCGGAACCACAGTTACGTTATTTGTAAAACGAGACTAACTTCCTCCTGGAGTTGTTCTAAGCATTCAGTCAGTGTCTGGCAAGAGATGATGAGGGCCTGAACTGGACAGGGGTCCTGTTTGATCATAATCACCTTGCAAATTTCTACTGAGCTATTTCTGGTGAACATCTTTGTTCTCCAATAATGAAAATAACATTTATTGGGCACTTCCTCTGGCCCCCCCCGTGCTATATACTTCATCTTATTTAACACTTACAATAAGACAAAGGCCCAGAAGGATTAAGTCACTTGTCTAAGATCACAATGGGAGTCAGTGGCGGAGCCAGGATTCAAGCCAGGACTGTCTGATTCCCAAGTCCATGCTAATAACCCACCATGCTACCGGCCTCCAACTCCAGCTTGGCTCATAGAACTCAGGGAATGTGTGTTCTATTTCTTTAGCATTCCTCCTCCATCCATACACACATGCTCTCCACTAGTGCCCAGCATAATAAATGCTCCACATATATTCACTGAATGCGTGAAAATAAATGACTGTGACATCCTCTTACAGTAATGAAAGCCCCTTTTTTCTTGGGCTGTCCCCAATGGGGAATAAAAGCGGCTGGCCACCCTCCTCCCCACCCCCTAGCATTCTCTTCCTGCTAAATTATCACGTGGGAGGCCTTCCCCCTTCCCCCACGGGTAAGTCAGGCTTCTTGGTTTCAGAGACCCACAATAGGCACAGTGATGACTCATCTTCAACGAACATTTGGAGAGATGTCAGGACCACTGGTGCTTTTTAGGGCTCTGTTAACATGCATCAGTGGGGTGATTTCCAAATAGTGGCCTTGCATAGGTATACAGTTGACCCTTGAACAAATATACATGAACTTATTTCCACGTATATAAGTTCAAAGGTCGTTGTATTTTCAATCCTCTATTGGGAATCCAAGTATGTGGAAGGTCGACTTAAATTATATGTGGATTTTCAACTGTGAGGGTGGTCAGAGCCCCTAACCCTTGCATTGTTCAAGGGTCAACTGTATTAGTTTCCTAGCACTGCTGTAACAAAATGCCACAAACTGGGCGGCTTAAGACAACACAAATTTATTCTCTCACGATTCAGGAGGCCAGAAGTCCAAAATCAAGGTGTCAGCAGGGTTGGTTTCTTCATGGGGGCTTAAAGAGAGAATCTACGTATTCAGTGCCTCCCCGCTAGCTTCCGGTGGTTGCCAGCAATCCTTGGCATTCCTTGGCTTGTGGCAGCATCACTCCAGTCTCTGCCTCCATTGTCACATGGCATTCTTCCTGTGTGTCTGTGTCCAAATTTCCCTCTTCTTATAAAAACATCTCTTCTTCAGTCCTGTTGGAGTTGGGCCCGCTCTAATCCAGTATGACCTCATCTTAACTTGATTACATCTCCAAGGACCCTATTTCCGAATCAGATCACATTCACAAGCACTGGGGGTTAGGACTTGAACATATCTTTTCTGGGGGACACAGTTCAACCCCCAATAATATGTTTGGGGTAGGAGGGAGTGCAGAGGGGATGGAAAATGAAGGAAGGTGATGAAGAGGAAGGCGAGGTGGTTCATAAGAAGCAGATCATACATGCATAATGCAGTGTGATTCAGGGTCCCTCAGGAATGGGGCTAAACTTTCCTTCTTGGTCAATCCCATTCTTCCCCAAAGATATCTCCAACTCATAGATTCACAATATTAGAGCTGGAAGGGACTTTGGAGGTTCATTCATTCATTTAATTCAACAAACATTTATCGAACACTCTTTGAGGAGCTGGGCATTCTGAGAGAAAAGAGATGGCCTGAGGAAACTGAGGCCCAGGGAGAGAATGTGGATGGTCTAAGATGACACATTGAATTAGAGTATAGCCAGGAACAGAATGGGGTACCCCAAGCCCCAATCCTGAGCCCTCTTGCTGCCTATCAGGAAGGCTACCCACCCCTGGGCCTGAACCTCGGGTGCACACACAGATCTAGGTTTTTTAAAAAGGTGACTGTGCTCTGAGGCTTATTATCAGCTCTCCTAAGCTTCCATAGGTTAATCCAGCATTTGAGGAACTTTGGAACCTC